ATGAAACAGAATCAATCTCGGTCTTGTTGATTGAGGGTTTCATTTGGAAAGTCTGCACTTGGTCCTGGTTACACATGCTTCAGTTCTCTAATAAAGACAAATGCAGAGCAGTCAGTGTGAGCCTGGTTCCCATTCCCAACGAATCTGTCACTTCTCCAAGTCTGGAAGAGCGGCCTGCGTATGCTCTCCGGAAAGGTAAACTTCCTGTGCGGATTACGCAGGGCAGACTGAGATGCCTCCTGTCTGGGTATCTGGGGTGGATATCTGCCCAGCGAAGTATGGGAACTCCTGCAGTCCTCCTGGGAATGTGGGACATTGGATAACAAGGGATCGGACATTGGTCTACAACGTCCATTTCTAATCTTAAGATGTTCTGCTTCATTTTTCTAGCCCTTATGTCATGGAGAAGACTGTTAAAACCATCCATATCGAGGAAGAACTAATGACAAATAAGTCAAAATCTAATGGAACCCAAATGGACCATATTTACCTTCTCAATGTATGTTTTTGGTCACCTTTCCTCTCACTAAATATCCTATTTCATATGCACCATATTAGCATTTCATGTTTACTTTAAACACCTACACACCTAAAGCAAACAAAAATCATAGCATGTATCCACTTATTTTGAAACGCAAATGCTTTTAGCCACTGCTTCATTAGCCACTGTAGGTAAATAACTAGAAGAATAACTAAGGATTGCCATAAACAGTGTAACTCTTTCCACTACAAACCAGTGTGTTTATGATAAGGAAATAAAATAACGTTAACAAATACCAGTTTGCAATGTCAAGCGGCATTACAGACTGTTTTTGTACAGGTAAAATAGCTCGTTCAAGTTATGAACTCCGCGCCCAGTCTCATGTTACAAATAAAGTGGATACACACCCATGACCCAGTGGCTTCTTGGACTTCCACATTAGCCCTTCCCAACTGTTTGGATCAGCAGGCATGTTCAACCTGAAGCTCTGCCAATTCCTCAACCTCGCAGGACTTCTGGACCCTGGCCAATGTAAACCGTGACTGGCTCTAACAGATGAGGCTTATTGGTCTCTCCAGTTCCACCTGCCTGTCGCGTTTCAGTGCATGAAGAGCGTGTGCGTTCAGTGGCAGATTCAGAACTCAACTTTACAGCTTTTCTCTATATGAAAATGGCTTTTACAAAGTGAGGGAGAGAGATAGAGCAAGAACAGATGGAAACTGTGGAGCAAGAACCAGCAGGGAGACTATCACTTATAGATAAGGCAAAAAAATCAAGGCTAGGTTCACTATGGAATACTGGCTTACTGCAGTATATGTAGTGTATACTGCCTGTTTTTAAAAACAGTAAGTGAAACAAAAGACATTACCCAGCTAACAAAATTATGTTCCAAGAACATTTTTCTGACATTGCCATTATACGGTGTCAATTGTTATTTCTAAATGTGCTCTGAATGTTCAAAACATCCAATTTTATACAGGTTTTAGAAACGTTTTTTTCTTGGTAATTGACAATAGAGAAATCATCATGGAAACGTTCCATTTTATAATTTTGCAAGCATTATGTGAACAACTTTTGAATGCTTTCTGAATGTTCTGAAACAAACAATACAGTTAAATTTGTTAGAAAACATCCGACTAAAATGAATGTTTTTGAAACTCTTAAAGGGGTCATATGATGCTGCTAAAAAACAGTATTTGGTGTATTTGGTGTAATGAAATATGTTTATGCGGTTTAAGGTTCAAAAAGCACATTATTTTCCACATACTGTACATTATTGTTTCTCCTCTATGCCCCGCCTTTCTGAAACGTGTCGATTTTTACAAAGCTCATCGGTCTGAAAAGCGAGGTGTGCTCTGATTGGCCACCTATCCAGTGCGTTATGATTGGCCGAATACCTCAAGCGTGTGACGGAAATGTTACGCCCCTTGCCATATTGTGATGCCTGCGGCAACCACGTGACGACCCCGTGCTGGACTTTGCTTCGTCCACGGTGAAAGCCGATCCGGCGATCGACAGCGCAAAGTTTAATTATTTCCTCAGCGACCAGCACGGATCAGCTCCAGGCATGACGAAGTGATATCATCCTCTTTTGGAAGGCCAACCAAAGCAGTTTCGCTTTCACAACGAAACACACAGCGCCTTCACGACATGGCGGCGGCGGCAACAATACTACAGTGAGAATAAATGTTACGCCTTCTTTCTTTGCGTGAACATTTGGGCGGCGTTATGCAGATCTTCCCACACAGTGAGGTAGACATGTGGGGGCGTGTTAGAACAGCCGTTTTAGGTAGGTGTGGCTGACTCTTAACTTTTATAAAGAATATCTCTTTGGATTTGAGACTTTAGTCTTTGCAACGTTACAGATCTTCTTTATGCACCAAGAGCTTGTAGAAAGGAAAAATTTAAAATCGCATCATATGGACCCCTTTAAGTGAAACCGAATTACCCAGCTAACAGAAATATGATCCAAGCATGCTTTTCTAACTTTCCCCATTATTGTATGAAATTGTAATTTCAAAATGTTCTCTGAATGTTCAAAACTTCCAATTTTATAAATACTAAAGTGTTTTTTTGTTCTTGGTTATTTTCAACATTAGAAAAATCGTTAAGTGAGCGTTCCATTTTATTATTTTGCAAACATGTGAATGTTACTTTTCTGAATGTTCTGAAACTAATAATGTTTAAATGTTAAAGTCAAACTAAAGCGATAGAGAAAAAAACACTCCTCCACCAACGATGTATTAACATTTTGAAAACATTATTAAAAACCAGAAAACTTTGAATAAACATTCTATTAATGTTACTGTAAGAACATTTGTTTACAACTTTGAAATAACCTTACCAGAACAATCTGAGAACATTCCCCGTTAGCTGGGCATAAAGGTAGTACGTCACATGACAATTGATATTTTGCATTTTAAAAAACACACAAAAAAAAAGAAAACATTTGGCTGGCCAATCAAATAATGGGCCAAGAAAGCCATTAAATTCACTTTCATTGAAATACGGACATTGAACACACAGATAAAGATGCAGAGTCTGATCTGCACACTCCTGCAATAGCAACTGTATTCTAATCCAAACAACAGCAGCTCTTTCAGTCTTGACACGGCACTGATTCACTTCACTGTTCAATTTAAGATGTTTGACATCTGAAGGATCCAAGGAGGTGAGATGTTTTATGTAACTCCCATTATAACTGCATTGAGGACGAGTTCAGACAGGTGAGTCTCACACAGTGCTGACTATTAAAGATTAGGGTAAAATGCAAAAACATGGAGAAAAAAAAAAAAAAAAAAAAAAAAACTTGCATTCATGACTTGCTTGACTACAAGACTTTGATTGGATAAAAAGTTCTAACTTAAAAATAAAACATAAGAGATAATTCTGTACATGGGTCTGAATCTAATTCACTGGAATCAAAAGTAACACAGTGTCCATAAATGATGTGTGGCTGTCAAAACTAGATCAGTCCCATTATAATCAATAGTACTGTCTGTGCTGCAAGCGTCTGATGCGTCATGTCGCCCTTTCAGATGATGGACACCTACAAATGGGCCATTTCTATTTTTGATGCACTGCAGAACTACTTTCAACATTTGATTTTCTCCAAGTCTAATACAAAATCCATCTATACATTTTTTTTTTAAGATCATAAAATCATAACCACCTTGTACTCTTATAATAAATGTCATTTTATTTATATATGTTTGCTTGTTTCTAACCATATGTAGGCACAAGCTCACAAGGATTTTCAGAAAAGAAAACTGGATAGCAATTTTATTGATCACGTCTAGCATCAAACTATATTCCATCCCTCTGCAGAAACCCAACCTCCTCATGCTAGTGTAGAATAGAACTGATACTCTGTTCTGTGCCTGATAAGAAATCCTACAAAATCACTTTATGATGCATTGTCATGTCGCTCTTTCAGATGATGGACACCTACAAATGGGCCATTTCTATTTTTGATGCACTGCAGAACTACTTTCAACATTTGATTTTCTCCAAGTCTGATACAAAATCGAAATATCACATTTTTAACTATACATTTTTTTTTTAAGATCATAAAATCATAACCACCTTGTACTCTTATAATAAATATGTCATTTCATTTATATATGTTTGCTTGTTTCTAACCATATGTAGGCACAAGCTCACAAGGATTTTCAGAAAAGAAAACTGGATAGCAATTTTATTGATCACGTCTAGCATCAAACTATATTCCATCCCTCTGCAGAAACCCAACCTCCTCATGCTAGTGTAGAATAGAACTGATACTCTGTTCTGTGCCTGATAAGAAATCCTACAAAATCACTTTATGATGCATACATGACAATACTATCTGGATTTAGTTCTTATTATATTTCCATTATTATACTACTGCTAAAAACTTTGTGGTTGGAAATATTTAATGCACTTATTTGACCAAAAATACAGTAAAAACAGTAATACTGTGAAATATTAGAATTTAAAATAACCATCTATTCTTTTTGAATATATTGTAACATGTAATTTATTCCTGTGATCAAAGCTGAATTTTCAGCATCATTCCTCCAGTCTTCAGTGTCACATGATCTTCAGAAATCATTCTAATATGCTGATTTGCTGCTCAAGACACATTTCTTATTATTATCAATGTTGAAAAAAGTTGTGCTGCTTCATATTTTTGTGGAAACTGTAATTTTCTTTCAGGATTCCTTGAACAGAGTTCAAAAACAGCATTTATTTGAAAGAAACCTTTGGTAACATTATAAATGTCTTTACTTGCTGCTATTTTCATAATCTAGAAATAGATACATTAGGCATTAAAAGCGGCTACCTTTTGGGGTCCTAGAAGCATCATGCACAACACTCTGCAAGGACTTGAATTGAACAACTGCAAACATCTGACCTTCTAATACATGCAGAGCTGTTTGCAGGTAAATGTTTTCAACCTAAAAGAAAAAGCAATAACGTGTAACTGTAAGATATCAGATTGAGCATCATGGGGGGGAAACAAACAAAAAAAAACTAGTTTGGGTTTCCATGCATCCTTTATTCCTTTATATGCAGTACAATAACCACTGTGTTGCAATGAAGCAACAACCTACATCAAGAACAATAATTTTCTCGCAGCACATTTAAGGCTTTAAAGATATATATAAAAAAACAAAAACAAAGAAACCTACACACAAAAGTGTCTGTACCAACTAGGGTTTTCTCTGCATTATATTTGCATACTGTGATTCCAGTGTCAATAAAAATCAAAGCTAAATACCATTTACTTCATATTTTACAGACCTATATATATAGAGAGAGAGAGGGGGGTGATGTATAGTACGGTTATCTTACAAACCAGCATTAAAAGAGGTGTAAATATTAATAATTACTGAAAAAACATTGTAAAAATGTCAGTATCAAAAGCAATGACGGGCTCAGATGTGGTCAGTTTCTGCCATTCTTTAAAAAGAGTCTCAAAGAGCTTCATCTCCGAACATCATCATACATGAACCGCCACTGCATAACCTTACAGCAATACGACAAGTCAAGTTTACCAACAACAACTTCTGCTATACGCTAAAAACACAATCAGACGATCGCACCTGTTTGGTAACAATCGACGTCCTTCATTAGCGCAGAAAACAGCTCTGATCATCCTGTCGTGTAGCGTTATGATGAAATGTCTACAAACACAGTCCTTCATTCTCCGTATGGGGGGAAAAAAACATTGAATGAATAATTCTTTTTCCTGGGTTTTGTGATTTGTCCGATGTTTGGGAAACAGGATGAACGTCAAAAAGCGGTGAGGAGGTGCGGTACCTTATTTATATGTAGCGAAGGTTCAGTTTTCACAGTGAATTTCCCCATTAGAGTAGCAGCGAGAGGGAGTCCAGAGAAAATCCCATTTCCGAGAAATCATTGACAGGAATGTCAGAGCGAAATGTCTGAAAACGTAAGGCTTATTATAAGGTCAATGCTAAAAGCAACAGAGAAAGCTTGAAATTTCAACTTTTTAATACAACCCACGATTAGAACGATGTAGTGTTTGCGCCAAAACAATGCCCTGAATGCTGTGTTGCGACAAAGCACCGTGTTTCACTGCTGAAAAAAATACGATACGACTCTCTTCCCCACTGTATTCGAAGTCACAGACAGTACGTCTCATTATTTACGGGTCAAGTCACTTCCACGGGTCTTCCAGTTTTAATTAGCCCGCTACAATTATTTCGACCGACAGTCAGCGGCCTTTACCACACAAACGCATGTCTCACACACACACACACACACACACACACACACACACACACACACAAACTGGCCAAGTAAAAAGTCAGTTACTGGTTTCTCTTGTACTAATCTACTTGAAACATAAAACGGGAATGCTATGACAATTACCACCAAAAAAAGATCATAGAAAAAAAAATGTATATATATAATAACCTGAAAATACCTGCACAATAAAAGTGCAGTTTAATTAACCCTTGAGGAGCATTTAAAAAAAAAAAAAAACCTGGAGAAAAATCTAATCATCAAATGCAACTTATTGAATGCGGTGCAAAATGTCAACATTTCTTCATCAAGTATAAAAGAATAGAAAGTGGTTCGAAATCATTAAAACACATTTCCCCCATAGGGATGAAAACGCCCCGCTCCTAAATATCAAGAGAGAGACTTCAGCTTTTTTCGTCAGCAAGTGCAAGTACTAATGGCGTCCTCAGCCCTGGGTAAAGAGGAACCCTACACGACACGCGGGAGTGTGTGTGCGCCTCGGCCTGCTGCGCTGCACCGCGTCTTCAGGAGGTAGCCAGCTCAAACGTGATGAACTGTTTGAGTCTCTCGAGGTACTGAGCGTAAAGCTCGATGTCATTGTGCCCGGCGCCCTCCACCCACAGAGGCTCCACGGCGCGCGGGCATCGCTCGTAGATGGCCAAACCGTGGGAGAAATCGATCACTTCGTCTTCTGTGCCGTGGATGACCAGGACTGGAGACGCCACCTTTGACACCTTGTCGATGCTGAAACATATAAGAGACAGAATTTATTTTATTATTATTTTTTGCATTTTATTGCATCACATCGTTTAATCCACTTTACAGGTTTTCTGGTCAAGCAGCTCCAAACTAAGTCAGGAAGAGACTGTCTGGCACATAAGACAATAATTAAAGTTATCAACAACTGTTTGTTTGTTTTTGCATGCCGTTTAAGGAGAAATATGAAATAAATGATACTACAATAATAAACCAGCATGGAAACATAGATTTCATGATTACAATTCTGCGCATCCCATGGAATATTAGTAATAAATTGATGATTCTCAATACCAATTTCAATACTACAGCTAATATGCTGAAGAACACTCATTTTTACTGTTTAACTATATTCAAAAATAAATAAATAAATCTTTAATGGTCAGTAAAGGCCCGTGCACACTAAAAACGATAACTATAAAGATAACTATATTAGTGTCCACACCAGCGGACGATATCGTCTGTTTATTTCAAGAGCACGCTCGTCTGCCGCTTTAAATTCTCGAGCTCGTTATCGCAGGACTGTCTCTGATTGGCTGTCAATGTTTTTATCGTTCATCAGCTGGAAAAAAGTGATTCCAACGATATAGTTTATCTGTGCCTTTATCGTTATAGCTGTGGTGTGGACTCTGCTATTCTTTGATACTGAGAAGGATTTTTAGAACTATAAACTATATCTTTATACAGTGCACAGCATAAATGAGTACACCTCCTCTGAATAAATATAAAAGATGTATTTTCTTAATGATCACTAATATAATTAATATAATTCATGGAAAGATGGCAAAATTGAAACATGGTAAACATATACTTAATAAAAACAACAAAATATATGCCAATATTTTCTGTAAGATAAGTAAATTAGCCAATTTTGTTTAAATGAAGGATTGCAGAAATGAGTACACCCTAGATTGTAATATTCTAGTACTTAGTATGTCCTCCAGAACTTAAAGTACACTGCTCTGACACTTCTTGGCACTGAGTGTACAAGTTCACGACAAATTTTCATATCTGTGCTGTTTAACTCCTGGAGGACGACCTCCTTAAATGCTCTGATCTTTAATGAGGAGTGTTGCTCAGCTCGTCTCAGAATCTCTCACAGCAGCTCAAGAGTGTTAAGATGGAGTGAAATACATGTCCACTGAAGGATTTTCA